GACCCCCAGCATTCTGCGGCACTTCTCGGGCCACATCGATATGGAAAAGCCCTGAGGCCCGAGATTGGGCGAAAAAACGCCTGGAGAGAAAAAATGCTGAACGCCCGCGCAGAAGGGGAGGTCGAGGAGCAGGAGGGCAGGGAGACGAGGCAACGGCTCGTAGCACACAGCACACATCATATGACACACACACACGCACGCACGCACGCACGCACGCACGCACGCACACGCACGCACACACACACACACACACACACACACACACACACACACACACACACGCGCGCGCACGCGCGCACGCACGCACGCACGCACGACGAACATGCCAAACAACGCACAACACGGCACACACGGCACACGTCACAAAACACGCATAGAGGGAGACGGAGGGGGTGCCCCCGAAGGACGTCGCCCTCTCCGTCGCCGGGCCTGGGGCCTCACGGGGCGGGGTCCGCGAGGAGGGACCAAGAGATCGGGAGATCGGCGGGCCGAGGAGTCCCTCGGTAGCGCCCGCCTTGGAGCCGTCGGCACTGTTCGGCGCCGTCGTCGTCGCTCGGCGCCGTCGCTCGGCGCCGTCGCTCGCCGTCGTCGTCGCTCGACGCCGTCGTGGTCGCTGCGGCGGCGCCGTTCCCAGGAGGGCGGCAGCCTCGCCACGGCGGCAACGGCCGGCGCGCCCAGAGCCTCCGCGGCGAGGCAGAGCCTCGGAGATCCAGCGGCGGCGGTGCCCGAGCCGGGCGGCGCTGGCGGTGCTCTGGCGGCGCGGGCGCCGGCAGCTCGCAGGCGGTGGCCGCTGCGCCGCGGAGCGCCACCGCGCGGCGACGGTCGGCGGCGGGCCGCCTCGGCTGCGCCGGTCGACAGGTCGCGGGCCAGGGCGGCCCTTGGCCACCGCGTCGGCCTGGCGGCTGCTGCTGTTCGGCCACGGCGCTGACGACGAGGGCGGCCTCGACACCTGTCGGCGGTTCAAACATGGGGCCCTGAGGGATGAGGCCCCAAGGATAAGAAGAGATCCCAGGTTGACCTTACATTGTTTGAGGCCCGTCGTCCTCAGGGCTCGATCCATCAGGGCCCGATTCATCAGGGCCCAATCTTTGAGCCTCCGACTTGTTGGGCCAAGTGGTTCTCCCCTTCTTCACGCCAGGCAGATGGCCTGCACACGCGGGGCCTGTCCGAGGCCGCACCAGCCAGAGCGAGCAGCGTTTCGCGCCCGCACTAGATCAGGATGGCCAGCCTGGTGCTGTCATCCGCAGTGCGGACGCTTTGCACAGCCCATGGGAGGCGCCAGGGAGCAACGGCACATCGGGCGGGGATATTACCCAGGCGTGCATCCACACGAATGTGACCGAGAGTAGCCTCTAGGTGGTCGCTGCTTCTGCGCAGGCAACGGCTGGGCACGTGGAGCGACGGCTCACGGATGATGTGATGGCGGTGCGCTTCGTAACCCTCGTTCAATTTTGGCCAGACGGCCAAGGGCGGCGCCAGCGAGAGGCCTGGCTTCCTTGGTGGCCCAGCCGTCCCCACCGCCCGCCCGGGCGCCCCGCGTTCACCTTCGCCGCGCGTCTGGCGGGCCGCTGGCGCGACGCCATGCCGCGAGGGAACTCTGTGGCGCGAGAAAAGACAGCAACTCTGGATAGAAAATGCAAAACGATGGATGAGCCCGCTCGGCATGGTGCGTAGGAGGAGCGGATGAGGGCATCATCGCCGAGCCCGAGGACAGCGGCGGGCACTGGAGCGCGAAGCTCCGCTGCGTGCTCGCGACGGAGGGCCTCCCACCGATGGGGAGGAGCGGAGGAGGGAGGGGGAAGAAGGGAAGGGGTAGGAAGGGAACGGTGCGGAAAGCGGGGAAAGGGGGGGGGGAGGGGGGGGAAGCAGGGAGGGGGAGGGATGGGGGGATTGGGGGGGATTGGGGGATGGGGGGAATGGGGAGAATAGGGGGGGGGCTGGGGGAGGGCGGGGGGGAGGGAGAGACCGAGGAAGCGAAAGGATCGGAAGGGGAGGGGGAAACGAGAGGAGGAGAGGGGAGGGGGGGGACGAGGAAGGGGAGGAGTAGCACAGGAGGGGCGGGCGGCCGCGGTCGCGCGCCCGCCGCGCCTCCTGCGCGAGGCGCCCCTCGGCCTCCGCGTGGGCAGCCCTCGAGGCGGCCAGCAACGCCTGGGGCCGGCGCGAAACAAAAAACACATCGGCGGAGAGCTGGGCCCTGCCTCCGAGCCCCCGAGGCGGCCACGGCGGCGGCGGCGGGCCGCGCGCCTCCGCCTCCGCCTCGCGCGCTGGGCGCGCCATCGCCCGCGCCTCGGCGAGGCGCAGCCCCGCGGCGGCGGCGGCGCGCGCCTGAGCGCGCGCGCGCGCGCCGGTGACGGCGGTGACAGCAGCCGCCGCCGCCGCCGTGGTCGTGGTCGTGGTCGCGGTCCTCCCCTAAGATGCGAGCCCTGCCATATTTTTCACTCTGGGCGTTTTGGTCCAATTTCGGGCCCCAGGACCATCGTAGACCGATCCGGCTCGAGAAATGCAGCAGAAAGATGGGGTCTGGGGCTCTGGTGATGATTTTTCGCGATGCTGAAACTTTTTCGCAGCGTGGGATCTCGGGACCTCCCCTCCCACCCCTCCAGGTGCCCCACCTCGTTCGACCTCGGCTCTGGCTCGTCTGGAACGCGGCCTGACGCTGTCGCCGCCGTCGTGATCATGGTCGTGGTCGTCACTCGGCTGCACGCAGGAGCGACTCTGGGCAAGAGTGACCTTTGGTGCGCAGCTTGCCGATCGTGCCGGCTTGCGTGCTTGGGTTCTGATTCCCCCACCCCCCGCCCCCCGGAAGCCGCGCACCAAAGGACACCGTGGCGAAGGGTCGCTCTTGCGTGCAGCCGACTTGTCCTCATCCCCCCCAGTCCGCTTCCTCCGCGGCCTGCCTCTCCCTCCCTCACTCCTGGGCACTCCTCCCCGTGCGGCCTGGGCTTTGGAGCGCCTGGGAGGCGGCCCAGGGTGCGGACAGATCGCGCACTTCTGACCCTGAAGCTTGCAATTCCACCAGCTCTCTGGGAGTAGGTGGTCTAACGAGTTCGTTGTTTCCTCTTGCACAAGCCCTCTTCCCTGCGGGGAGAAGATAGCTCATAGCCGAAAGATGGCTCAAGATGACTTCCAACATGCCTCCAAGAGGCCCAAAGAGGGCCACAAGACGGTTCCTAGTGCATTCAGAACCCTCCCAGGACGCCCAAGAGGCCAATATCCAGCAAATACCGATGGGGAATCAATGATTGATGCCTTTTCGCCGTTGCGCTTCCGATGCACTTCTGAGGCCTCAAGATGAGCTAGATGGCCCAAAAGAGCAGCATGAGGGGCCCAAGATGCCTCACACAAGCACCCGAGAGCGCCCAAAGAGCGCCCCAAGAGGGCCCCAAGAGGGCCCCCGAAGGCGAATTTGAAGGCCCCAGAGGGGAGGGAAACTATGGGACCCCCCCTCCTTTGACCGACAGCCTCCAAGATAGCCTCAAGAGGCGCCCCAAGAGCATCCCAACAGCGTCACACGAGGGCCCCAAGAGGCGGTTTGCCTCCTCCTCCTCCTCCTCCTCCTCCTCCTCCTCCTCCTCCTCCTCCTCCTCATGATCATCATCATCAGCATCATCAGCATCATCATCATCATCATCATCATCATCATCATCATCATCATCATCAGCATCATCATCATCAGCATCATCATCATCATCATCATCATCATCATCATCATCATCATCATCATCATCATCAGCATCATCATCATCAGCAGCAGCATCATCATCAGCATCAGCATCAGCATCAGCAGCATCATCATCATCCTCCATCATCAGCATCATCATCATCATCATCATCATCATCATCATCATCATTATCATCATCATCATCATCATCATCATCATCATCATCATCATCATCATCATCATCATCATCATCATCATCATCATCATCATCATCATACTACTACTACTACTACTACTACTACTACTACTACTACTACTACCCCTCCTCGAGGCCGGGGGATTGTGAAGCCCCTCGCCGTTCTCGTATGGTTGTTCCCAACCATCCTGTGGTGTTGGGTCCTCGTTTTGAAGGGACAGCGCCCCGCGTTCCTTCCTCCTCCCGCTGCCCCCTCCCTCCTCCTCGCATCATCGTCATCAACATCAACATCAACATCATCATCATCATCATCACCATCATCATCATCACCATTATCATCACCATCATCAACATCATCATCCTCATCATTACCAGCATCGAAATAATAATAATCATAATAATAATCATAAGAATCAGAATCATCATCACCACCATCATCATCATCACCACCAGCATCAGCAACATCATCATCACCATCATCGCCACCATCACCATCACCATCATCATCATCAGCATCACCATCATCATCATCATCATCATCATCATCATCATCATCACCGATCTCGGCACCGCCCCATTTTGGTAGAGGATCGTGGCCCCATAGGAGCTCCACCGAAGGCGCCAGTAGCAAACTTAACATGGCGGCCTCGGGCCATTTCGGCACACCCCGCACGAGGATCGTGGCCCCATAGGAGCTCCACCGAAGGCGCCAGTAGCAAAGTTCGCAGGGCGGCCTCGGGCCATTTCGGCACACCCCTCACAAGGACCGTGACCCCATAGGAGCTCCACCGAAGGCGCCAGTAGCAAAGTTCGCATGGCGGCCTCGGGCCATTTCGGCACACCTGTCACAAGGATCGTGGCCCCATAGGAGCTCCACCGATGGCGTCAGTGGCAAAGTTCGCAGGGCGGCCTCGGGCCATTTCGGCACACCCCTCACAAGGACCGTAGCCCCATAGGAGCTCCACCGAAGGCGCCACTAGCAAAGTTCGCAGGGCGGCCCCGGGAAATTTCGGCACACCCCTCACGAGGATCGTGCCCCAATAGGAGCTCCACCGAAGGCGCCAATAGCGAAGTTCGCATGGCGGCCCCGGGCCATGTCGGCACACCCCTCACGAGGATCGTGGCCCCATAGAAGCTCCACCCAAGGCCCCAGTAGCAAACCTCGCACGGCGGCCTCGGGCCATTTCGGCAACACCCCGCACGAGAATCGTGGCCCCATATAAGCTCCACCGAAAGCGCCTGTAGCAAAGCTCGCATCGGCACACCCCTCACGAGGATCGTGGCCCCATAGAGCTCCACCGAAGGCACCACTAGAAAAGTTCACATGGCGGCCTCGGGCCATTATGACACCCCTCACGAGGATCGTGGTCACATTGAAGCCCCACCGATGGCGCCAGTGGCAAAGTTCGCATGGCGGCCTCGGGCCATTTCGGAACATTTCTCAAGAGGATCGTGGCCCCATAGGAGCTCCACCGAAGGCGCCAGTAGCAAAGTTCGCATGGCGGCCTCGGGCCATATCGGCACACCCCTCACGAGGATCGTGGCCCCATAGGAACTCCACCGAAGGCGCCAGTAGCAAAGTTCGCATGGCGGCCTCAGGCCATTTCGGCACACCCCTCACGAGGATCGTGGCCCCATAGGAGATCCACCGAAGGCGCCAATAGCAGAGTTTGCACGGCGGCCTCGGGCCATGTCGGCACACCCCTCACGAGGATCGTGGCCCCATATGATCTCCACCGAAAGCGCCAGTAGCAAAGTTCGCACGGCGGCCTCGGGCCATGTCGGGACACACCTCACAGAGATCGTGGCCTCACATAGCGGCCTCGGGCCATTTCGGCACACCCCTCACGAGGATCGTGGCCCCATAGAGCTCCACCGAAGGCGCCAGTAGCGAAGTTCGCATGGCGGCCCCGGGCCATGTCGGCACACCCCTCACGAGGATTGTGGCCCCATAGGAGCTCCACCGAAAGCGCAGTAGCAAAGTTCGCACGGCGGCCTCGGGCCATGTCGGGACACACCTCACGGGGATCGTGGCCTCACATGGCGGCCTCGGGCCATTTCGGCACACCCCGCACGAGGATCGTGGCCCCATAGGAGCTCCACCGAAGGCGCCAGCAGCGAAGTTCGCATGGCGGCCCCGGGCCATTTCGGAACACCCCTCACGAGGATCGTAGCCCCATAGGAGCTCCACCGAAGGCGCCAATAGAAAAGTTCGCATGGCGGCCTCGGGCCACTTCGGCACACCCCTCACGAGGATCGTGGCCCCATATGAGCTCCACCGAAGGCGCCAGTGGCAAAGTTCGCATGGCGGCCTCGGGCCGCTGGGCTTCTGGGCGCGGATGGAGAAGTACGCGAGCGCGCCCTTCGTGGACGACCTCAAACGCCACGACGAGAGCCCCACAGGGGACCTCGCGGGCAAGCTGGCGTCCATCGAGCCTCGCACGTCGGAGCCGCTCACGTTCCGCACCTCCAAGGTCGCCCGAACGGGCTTCCCGTTCTCGCACGGCAGGGTCATCACCACGGCGGCGTGCCAGGGGCGCGCCACGCGCGAAGGCGACGGGGCGAAGGAACACCGCTCTGGGGCAGTTTACGGCCAGACCTGCTGGGCGCGAGCAGTCCGCAACCAGACCTCCTCCCGGTCTGTGGACTCCCGCCCTGAGCCGTCGGCTGCCCGGCGCGCTGCCCCCCTGGCCGACATTGCTCAAGCGCGATCCTGGACTGCGGCCGCAACGAGGTCGGGAACGGCAAGAAGGAGGAGGACGACTGGTGGCTGGAGTCATACGCCCTGCTCTCGCGCGCCACGCGCCACGAGGACCTCCTGCTCATACGGGCGCCGCGCATCGAGTTCTTCCTGGCGGGGCCGCCGGAGGGCTGGCAGAAGCAGCTGGAGCAGCTTGCGGCGCGCACGAAGCGGCGCAGAAGGGAGGCGACGGCCCTCGCTGGGGAGCTGGGCTCCACGGAGTTTATCCGCGAGGCTTGACCTGAGGAGTGGCCCGCCCGAGCCTCGCCGTCTCTCGACGGCCTGACTGTTCGGCCTCGCGGCGCGGGCGACCCGCGCGCGTCGCTGGGACCCTCTCGGGGCGACCAGCGCGCGTCGCGGGAACTCCATGCTGCGTTCTGCCCAGCGCCTCGCTCGCCCCCGTCGTCGCTCTGCCCAACGGGCACAGCCTTGCCCGCTATCAGCCAGTTTGCTCGCTCTCTCTGCTCCGCGCAGCGGACGACCCGCGCGCGTCGCCGAGACCCCTTTCAGGGCGACCAGCGCGCGTCGCGGAGACTCCGTGCGGCGCCGCGCCCGCAGCCTGGGACATGGGCGCGCGCGGGCAAAGAGGGAGAAAACGAACGGGAAGGAAGCGGGCGCGATCCTCGCGAGGGGTGCGCCGACATGGGCGTCGACATTGATGCACGTAGACTCACGCGCGCGCAGACTCATCCACAGTCAGACTCAATCGCGTTGAGACTTACCCGCTCTCAATCTCCCGCGCTCAGACCGACCGTCTTTGTTCGCATTGCACACCCCGCCACGCATTTCGGCACGCCCCTCACACGGCTCGTGGCCCCATAGGGAGCGCGGGCGAAGATGATATTCAGAATTGCGGTATTCACAACTGCATATGGTTGGGTCCTTCGCCAGCCGAATTATCGAGTGGAACGCTCCTTCACCCTTCACGTTGATTTATTGTTTGTCAATTTTGTTTTTGCCGTGATCCCCTCATAGTGTTCTTTTCTCGCAATACCTCTCTCTCGTATTATCGTTCTCTCTCTCTCTCTCTCTCTCGATGTCTCTCTCTGTCAATATGTTGCACCAGGCCATGTATCGCCAACCAATGCAATGCCAATGGGAGAACCCTTTCGTTCGGTGGATTTCAATCAGATGATGTCATTACGAATGCTTCTTCGGGGGATTTCAATAGGAATGCTTACGTGGAGGGTGACGGTAGTGATCCTCATTTGGAGATGTTCGGTAGGAGTCCTTCTTGTGGGAGGACTCAATAAGAATCCATCTTGTGAAGGGTTTCAGTAGGAGTCCGTCTGCGGAGGGGGCCAATTGGACTCGCCAGCGCAATGCCAGCGCAATGCCAAAGCAGTGTCATCGCAATGCCAAACCAATGCCAAGGCGATCCCAATCCAATGGCAATGCAATGCCATACGGGGTGTATTCTTCTGGTACATTCAAAAAGGAATCCAACCTGTGGGGGGTTTCGATTGGAAACCTTCTGGGCTGTCAAAAAGATCTCTTCTTGTGAAAGGTGTCAATAGGAACCGTTATGTGGGGGGAGCCATTAGAACTCGCCAGCGCAGTCCCGAAGCAGTGCCAACGCAATGCCAAACCAATGCCAAGGCGATAACAATGCAATGCCAATATAGCGCCAATGGGGGGGAATCGTATGTGGTAGATTCAATCGCAACCTTTCTGAAAAACCCTTCTGTGGATAATGCCATCCACAGAGGGAACTACCCTTCTTCGGGGGATTTCAATTGGAAGCCTTCAGTGGGAAGCTTCGCATGGAACCCTTCTGAAGAGGAGTTCAATGTGGATCCTCATTGTGGGGGGGATCCAAAAGGCATCCTTCATGCGGGGTGTTCACTTGGAATCCTTCTGCGCAGTGTTTGCTCAGGACTCGCCAGCGCAATGCCAGCGCAACGCCAACGCACTGCCATAGCAATGCCAACGCAACGCCCATCCGATACCTTGTCAAACCAATGCCAATGCAATGCCGATGGCGGGATTCCTGTCTTTCAACAGCTTTCGATAGGAATCCTTACGTGAATGGTTTGGTTACGGATCCTTTTTCGGTAAATGTCGATAGGAATCCTCCTGTGGAGGGTTTCGATTGGAATCCTTCTGCGGAGGTGTCACTATGAATCGTTCGTGTGGGGGACTTTCAAGAGGACCGATCCCTTCTTGTGGAAGGTTTTACTACGAGTCCTGGTGTGGGGGGATCCATTAGAACTCGCCAGCGCAATGCCAACGCAATGCCAAACCAATGCCAAGGCGATCTCAATGTAATGCCAGTGCAACGCCCATGGGGGAAATCGTGCGTGGTCGGTCTCAGTTGGAATCCTTATATGGAGGGCTTCGCATTGAATCCTTCCGTGAGGAAGTTCAATATGAGCCCCTCTTGTGGAATGATTCAATCAGAATCCTTATTGTGGGGGTTCAATAGGAATCATTATGCGAAAGGAGGCGTTGGAACTTGAAAGCGCAATGCCAACACAATGCCAACGAAGTGCCAGCGCAATGCCAGACCAATGCCAAGGCGATCCAAACCCAATGCCAAAGCAGTGTCAATTGGGGACATCATTTGTGGCAGATTTCAATAGGAACCCGTTTATGGGGGACTTCGCATGGAATTCTTCCTTGGAGGCTGTCAATATGAACCCTTTTTGTAGAGGGTTTCAATCGGAGTCCTGCTTGTAGAGGGCTTCAATAGGAGTCCTTCTGTGGAGGGTTCTAGTAGGACTCGCCAGCGCAATGCTTGTGAAATGCAAGCGCAATTCCAACGCACTGCCAAGCGCAATGCCAATGCAATGCCAATGCAATGCCAAAACATTGCCAATCCAATGCCAATGCAATGCCAATGGGGGGGTCTCTCTTTCGAAGCATCTCAGTAGCAATATTTCTGCGTGTGATTTCACGACTGCCCTCGTCAAAATGAACTTCAAAAATGGCGACCGCGCCCCTGCGATGTCGCCCCCGACCAGGCGATGGGCCCCGTGCCACGTGGGCCCAGACAGGTGGATGAGAAGGAGGAGTAGGAGAACAAAGAGGAGGAGGAGGAGGAGGACCACGACGACGAGGATGAGGTCGAGGAGCGCGTGGAAGGGAATGGGGGCGGAGGAGGAGGAGGAGGAATTCCCTCTGCCCCCCACCACCAAAAAAAGGGGAGGGGCGGGGGCCCGCCCTGATTTTTTTGGGGGGGCACACCAGAAAACTAAAAACGGCATTGATTCTGTTTGGGCGGAGGAGGAGGAGGAGGAGGAATTTCCTCTGCCCCCTCCCCCCCCCGGGCGGGGGGGCGCCCATGTTTTTGGGCGGGCACATCAAAGAACGAAAAACTGCATTGACTCTTTTAAGGAGGAGAAGGAGGAGGAGGAGCAGGAGGAGGAGGGAGAGGAATACCCTCTGCCCCCCCCCAAAAAAAAAAACGGGGAGGGGCGGGGGCCCGCCCATTTTTTGGGGGGGCACATCAAAAAACGAAAAACTGCATTGATTCCCCAATCAGAGCTTGCCTCTGTAGGGGTCCTAGCGGATTAAAGGGTTAGGTGAGGTTTGTCGCCGATTTCGGTGGCCGGGCCCGGGTGCCCGGTTGCCCAGGTGCCCCGCGGTGCCCGGGTGCCCGGTTGGCCGGTGAGGTGCGTGGCCGATTTCGGTGGCCGTGCCCGGGTGCCCGGGTGCCCGGGTGCCCGGGGGTGCCCGGGTGCCCGGGGGTGCCCAATAGCCCAATAGCCCAGTAGCCCTATAGCCCTATAGCCCTGTAGCCCTACAGCCCTACAGCCCTACAGCCGTATAGCACTATGGCCCTATAGCCCTAGAGCCCTAGAGCCCTATAGCTCTAGAGCCCTATAGCCCCATAGCCCTATAGCTCTATAGCTCTATAGCCCTATAACCCTATGGTTCTATAGCCCCTATAGCCCAATAGCCCTATATCACTATACCCCTATAGCCATATAGCCCATATAGCCCCATTGCCCCAACAAAAATCTGATTGGGGCTTTTCTCTGGTATCATTCTTTTAAAGGGAGGAGGAGGAGGAGGAGGAGAGGAGGAGGAGGAGGAGGAGGAGGAGGAAAGAAGAGGACGAAGGAGGGGGAGAGAAGAGGACGCCACAGAGCACACAGAGCATTGAAAGACACACGCGCGAATCCAGTGCGAAAGCCTCGCGCGCGCGCCTTCGACCCCGAAGGGCTCCACAATCCAACCGTTCTCTCCTCCTCCTCCTCCTCCTCCTCCTCCTCCTCCTCCTCCTCCTCCTCCTCCTCCTGCTCCACCTCCTCCTCCTCCCCCCCCGCGGGCCCCAGGGATGGCACGAAGAGCTCCTCAAAGGCCACCCCCTTGCTTCCAGAGATCTCCATGTGCATCCTGGTTGCCCGCTTTGTTTTACTATACATGTCTCTTCGTCCCTCTTCCTGTCAGCCCTTATGGGCCGGGTCTCTGAACGGGCTGGTGGGGATACGCGAAGAGTGAAGAACTTGCAACAGCCTCAAAGATGGAGAGAGTGGTCAAAATGTGGCTATCGCAGTAGCGCCGCGCACAGTGGTTTTGCCATAAGACTCTTGCAACAGCTGCACGAATGGAGGGGCATCCTTTTCAAAATGTGGCTCTCGCCGTAGCGCCACACACACACACACACTCGCTGCAAAACGTTACAACAAGCTCGTCAAGGATGCGGATGCAAAATAAAATGTGGCTCTCGCCCTCGCGCCCAGACATTCGCCTCGCAGCAACTTCACGCAAGGCGCGCGGCCGCCGCCGAAGCGGCTGGCCAGGAGGCGGCGCGCCTCCTGCAGCTCGCCGCGCAGCTCTTCCGACAGCTGGCGCCCCCGCGCTGCCGCCGCCGCCTCTGCGCGCGCGCCCTCGGCGAGGCGCTCCTCGGGCAGGGGGGGGGGCGGGCAGGAGCGGCCAGCACCGCATCGCGAAATCGGCTCGGGTCGGAACACGCATCGCATCGGCCTGCAGCGGCATCGAACCGAATCGTGCCCGGCGGAGTGGGAATCGAATGGGATCGGCCAGATCGAAGTGGCCCTGAGGGCGGGGCGGCCGCGGCGGGCATCTGCGGCGGCCCCTCGGCAGGCGCAGCCGGGGGGCGTTCCACCACGACGCGCCCTGCAGGTCATCGTGCTGCCGTGAGGCACGCTCACGTTCGACGGCGCGCCCAAGGGGGCATGAAAGCATGAAAACCGCCCCCCGCACCCCACATGAGGGACTTTCTACCAACCAGACCGCGCGCGCGGGGCCCCCTCTGCGGCAGCTGGCAATGGCCAATGGCCTCGCTTACAGGGCGCCCACACCTACGCACATTCGCCAGAATTGTAAAACGTTGACACATTCAACCCGTTGTCGTGGGGGCTGGGGTCGGTTTCCCACTGTTCAGGGAAACGAGAGGGGGCAAACCCTCTCAGGAGGCTGCGGAGCGTCTGACCCTCCGGCATCCTCAGAAGCCCTGCGTGTCTTCGGAAAATGCTGAGAGAAAGCTTCTGAGCCGTCTGAGATGGCCCGCCCGGCCCGCCGACCCTCGGCAGGCCGCTCCACCACGACGCGGCCCTGCAGGTCATGGCGCTGCCGTGGGGAGCGCCCACTCGGGAACGAATTCAGACGAGGCCAGGTCCGGAACAGGATCGGACGGGGGCAAATCGGGGATCTCTGAGATCCGGCGGGCCAGGACGTTGTTATCGGGCGCCGCGGCCGTTCTGGAGCGCTCCGGGACGGTCTCAGAGCGTTCTGGGACGCTCTGGAGCAGTGCATCCTGGTCCTAGCCCCGCCTGACTCACTACGACGCGGCCCTGCAGGTCATCGTGCTGCCGCGAGGAACGCGAACTGAGGAACGAGTCTCTGCTTGGACCCCAAGAGGCGCCTGGCTGCACGAGGGGCGCTTGAGGGACAACCAGGGAAGGGCACGAGAAACAGCGAGCCCCTTCCGAACCCGAACTGCTCCGTACTTTGGCGCTTTGGCCGTGTGTTCTCCTTCTTGAAAGATCGCACCGCATCGGCGATGCATCGCCGATGCACCAGCGACGCTGGGGCAGAAAAGGTCGGACTCCTTACCGCGCCGCATCAACGATGCGTTGGCGATGGGGCGCGATCATCCGACCCCGTCTGCTCTGGCCCCGTCTGGGAGGCATGGATCCGACGCGCCGTACTTGTTCTCCCCTCCTTCTCCTGTCAGAGGGAGCCAGAGCGACGGGCAGGTCGTCCAGTGTGGGCGCAGGCGCTCTTGAGAATGTATAGGCACCTCTTTGGGCCTCTTGGGAGGATTTTGCTGGACTCTCTTCGGTCCCTCCTGGGGTCGCCCCAAAGCCCTCCAGAGGCGATGCCGAGACGAGGGCCCAACTACTGAGTAAAAGCCTGGGAAGGATCGAGCGGGAGCGTTGTGGTAGGGGGGCGGCTCGCCACGCCGAGGCGAGAGCGCCTCCCCTGAACGGAAATCGGTGAAGTGTTGATTGAGCGGGAGCGCTCGTTTTTGTTGGAGCGATGTTGAGGGCGGCAAACAGGCGTGCCAGTCCTGAGCAAAACATTGCGAGATATCGAATGGAAGCGTTGTTGTAGGGAGAGCGGTTTGCAACGCCGAGACGTGAACCCCACTCCTGAGCAAACGCGAGGCAATACGGAGCATGAGCGCTGGTTTGGTTGGAGGGCCAGTGTTCGGCAGCGAGCAAGAGCGCCAGTCCTGGTCCAAAAACGAGGCAGCCTCGAGCGGGAGCGTTGTCATTGTAAGGGGGACGGTTTGCGGCGCCGAGGCGGAAGCTCCTCTCCTGAGGAAAAAGCGAAAAAGAAGATCTAGCAACAGTGCTGGTGTGGGAAGCCCCGTTTCATCCCTGAGTAGACCAGGAGGAACATGTCTCGAGCGGGAACGTTGTTATTGTTATTGTTATGTTGCGGCGCCGAGGCAAGAATGCCACTCCGTAGTAAAAGCGAGGAATCGAGCGGGAGCGCTGGTTGTGGTAGAGGGCCTCTTTTCGGCGACAAGCAAGGGTGCAAGTCATGGGTAAAGAATAACGAAGTCTCGAGCGGAAGCGTTCCTGCTGCTTGGGAGACGGAATCGGAACAACCGGAAAACGCTTGATCGTCTTTTCGCTTTCAAAGAAAATATAGCCAGCGCTGAGGCGAGAGCGCCAGGGCGCTTAGGACCTAGGGAGGGGCTCAACAACGATAACGTTGGGCGAGAAAGACTCAACAACGACGACGACAACGACGACGACGACGACGCCGACGACGACGACGACGACGACGAGACGAGCGCAGCCTGAGAGAAGGCGAGGAGGCCAGGCGGCGCGCTCGGTCCTCCACGCTCGCGGCCTCCGCCCGCAGCTGTTCGAGCGCCCTCCGCGCCTCCGCCTCTCGGCGCCCCGCTGGTGGGAGAGCGTGAACGGCGACGGCGGCGGCGGCGGAGACGACGACGACGCCGACGACGACGACGACGACGACAACGACGACCATACCACGACCGAAAGCAGCCGCTGTTCGGCAGGCGACTTTTTGCCTTGAACGAGAAACGCCAACGGCGAAACCGACAGCGCGTCCAGCTCAAAATGGGCAGGAATTGCTGCTGGCATTCGTCCAATAGTTGCCGTACCAATTCTGATACTTCTCACTGGTTGAATTCGGAATCTAACCCGGGCCCCCGGTGGCCGTTCACGATCTGGGCACCCCTGGAAACCCCCCGACGAGACACAGCCGCGGGAAAGCATCCCGAGGCTGAAAGATCGGAGACGGACGAAGGACGAAGGACGAAGGACGACGACGGCGACGACGACGGCGACGACGACGGCGACGACGGCGACGACGACGACGGTCACGAATACCACGGACGACGACGGCGACGGCGACGACGACCAGGAGCCTCCTGCGGTTCCGGCTCGGCCCGCGGCCCGCCAGGCAGCGGCCACGGCGGCAGCTCCGGGCGGGCGCCGAGGGCGCCTTCGGCGGCGCCTTGGCCGGAAGCGGCGGGCGGCGGCGGCTGCGGCGGTGGGTCGACGGGCGGGCGGCTCTCCCCGAGAGGAAGGCCGGAGCAGGAGGGGACGGGAGGAGGGGGAGGGGGGAGAGGACAAGCGAGGTGCGCTCGCGTCATATCTGACGTCCTACCCTCCCCCCATCCCTTACCATGGCAAAGATATCGTCTCTACTCGCACAGTAGGATGTCGAGCAGGTAAATGATCGCGAGAGGGCACACGATGCACGGTATGGCATGGCATGGCCTTGAAGTGCACGGCAGAGCGTAGCATGCCATAGCATAGCGTAGCATTGCGCAGTAAAGCGTCGCATCACAAAGCATAGCAACGCAAAGCCTGGCATCGCACAGCGGCGCAGAACACAACACCGCACAGCATCGCGCCTGGCGGATCGCCGCAGGCGGGCCGCGGCGGCCCGAGCGAAGGCAGCCCTGCCTCTTTCTGCGCCCTTTGTACAGTGGTACACACTGCGCAAGGTATCTATATATAGAGAGAGAGAGAGGGCAGCTGATCAGGGGAAAAAGGGGCACAGGGATAAATGCACACAAAATTCAGACCAGTCTCAAACCGAGCGGGAAAGAACGGGAGATGGGCCCTCAGAGGACGGGTAACACAATCACAAGTGACTATATGCAATAGTTTGTTTTGTCCAGGCCCGCTACAATAGGGGCACTCTTTAGTGGGCCCTCTAAACCTGCCAGCGGTACACCACGAGTTGCTGACCGCTTTCGGGCAAGAGGAAGCGAGGAAGAGCGGGGCGAGGTCACCAACTCGGATCAGGAACAAAAAGACCTTGTCTGCATCTGCACGCGGGGTCTGCAGGAAGAAATGAGACAACCTGTCGAAAAGAAACTGATGGGGATAATATTTTCTATTACATAACAGGGCGCGCTCAGCTTTGTGTTGACACCGGGGATATCCAAATTCGGGGGCTCGCGGGATCTGCTTCATGAATGCATAGTTGTTCCAGGTAGACACGGTGATGCTTTTCTGCCACCAGGGGTTCACTGCGCGCGTGATCTGGCATTCGTCCGAGTCGGCGAAGGATGACAATCGCTCCACGACCTGATGGAATGCACGAGAGGTCGTGGCAGCACGGAACATGGCGGCATGGGCAGCAGCTTCGAATTCTCTTGCTCCAATGTTACAGCCGAGGGTCTTCAAGTTTCGAATAAGATCGGAAGGGGTCGCATTGCGGGGCCCACTGGAGAGGATATGGAGGGACTTGTCCTCGGCAGCAAGAGCGAAGGCGGATGGAAAGTGGAATTGGGAGACATGGGCGAGGACGGTGATGGCATACGTATTGCATCGAGCGGTAGATTTGAGAAGACCAAGTCCAAGCCCTAGGACACCACGACTCCGCTCGAGACATTCGGCGGCAGGCGCGACCCAACTCTCCTGAAAACCCCCAGGTCCGACAACAATGCCCAAATACTTGGCGGCGTGCTTAAAGATGAACCCGCCCTGCGGGATGCCACGCTGCCGAAGACGACGAGAAAACTCGTCATTCGTCACCGGGTGAACCAAGACAACGATGGTTTTGGCGGCGCTCGCGTGCAAGCCCGCAGCGCGGGCGGCCAGCCCCCACGCGGGCAAGACGATAACCGGGGCGGCAAAAATGTCGGAGCTGGCTACTCCTGCGTCGTCTGCGAATACCCCCCGCCCCCCTGTGGCGGCAAAATAAACTGCATGTATCTCAAGAATGGGTCGACACCGAGACAAAGGAGCGACCCCGCCAATGGACAACGTTGTTTGATGCCCCCGCGGGCCCAGAAACCAGCATCGCGGATCCCACAGAAATTGATGCCGACCCAGACGCGATGAAACAACTTCCGAACGGCGGAGATGATAAACGACGGCACGCCCATGCCTCCCAAGACCCACCAGAGCATGGAGTGGAGGATGCTGGGGAAGGCGGCACGAACATCGAAGAAGGCGAACCCAGTAGATAAGAAACCCACTTGGCAGTGCCATTGGAGCGCCCAGGATTCGAGGTCCAGGAGGTTGTCGTTCATTTCTATTTCTCACGAAACCCCTGAGTTCACTGATGGCCGTTTCGCAACAGAGCTGTGAGAACGAGTGAACGAGGGTTCCGAAGATCAACTTATTTGTCACTGTTGGAGAGGGCAATAGGTCTAGTAACCTCGGGCTTCCGATAAACACCACTGATCTCATCATCGTCGTCAACGCCACTGGCCAAGAAGACGGCCTGGCACAAGTTGCAGTCGCTGGACAGGCCACCACCGCACAGTAGGGATAGGTAAAGGTCGTGAAGTAACCGGAGGCCAATGGGACCTGGTTTTATCCAGCCAGAACACGGGATACCGTCGGGGCCGACTCTAGAATCGCGAGCCTTAGCGGCACGCCCACAAAATTCATCGACACTGATTTCCCGGAAAATGTGACCAGGTGCGGGAACAACATGTTGTCTGAGCTGCTCACGGGCCTCTGGACGGCCGCCTTCCAAGCTACGAACCTCCCCCCAATGGGCAACAGGGCGGTCGGCAGCGCGATTCTGATCCGAAAAGTGTTTTCCCGAGGGGTCAGTGACCGAAGCAAGCGCCACGCGACGATTGGCTCCAGACCAGGCGGACATATATTCTCTAAGACACTGCTGCGCAGAAGACTTCTTGTTAGGGTGCATGCGCGGGTATGCGTCGACTTCGTCGGTCATGCTCTGGAAGTTATCCGTGGCAAGACGGTCGAGCCATGCATAAAAACCTGCCATGTAAGTCCAGCAGGGTCCGGAGCGGTCAATGAAGCGTGCCAAATAGGGACAAGCACGGAGGGCCCTTCTCATTCGTGCAAGCGGACCGAACTGCATCGCCCGATGTGCAGCAAGAGTCAATGTAAGTTTCTCTGGCAAGGGTTCGGCCCCTCGCAACTCGTGGTCAGCTCTGACGATCTGAGCTGCTGCTCGGACATCATCTTTAAATACAAGCACAGCGAGAGCGGGATCGGGAGAAAGGAAGAACTTGCCCAAGGACTTGTTCCACGGCCCGGGGAAATGAAATCGGCCTGCATACCCAGGATGCAATTCGGCGAGGTCCTGAAGCCTGGAAGGGAGAGAGCGCAAGACAGACTGGAACGTGATATGATGGCCATTCTAGATCACAAACTGAACCAAGCGTGAGCGAGATGGCCTGCAGGACTATCAGCGACGCGCTAAACATGTCGGTGTATATTCTATATCATAGTGCAACAGATAGTATAGAACGCTTGTTACCATGAATATGGGCACGTCTGCGCGCGCATGCCGCCTGCGAAACTTCGGCGCGGCCAGGGAAACGACGAGCAAAAGACTTGGCGAGACCGCGAGTATGAAATGTAATGTCGCCGCCGATCTGGGCGCGCCCTTCACCGAGAGCGCAGAAAGTGAAGTCGCCCAGGAGGAGAAAGGCGCCATGCGTGGGAGACAGAGAACGGGACTCGATGAATCGGAGTATGTGTTGACGAGTGGAGACGGGAAGACTGGGATCGATATGCGCATTAATAATCTGCGCAGCGCCATGCTGCCCTCGCAGCACAAGCTCGCGAGACCGACCCGCCGAAGTACACGACGTTGAATATCGCAAAAGCGGGAGGAGAACCGAGGATCGATAAGGAGAACATTCCCACCTTTGATGCCACAGCAAAAGAAAGTGCCGCAAGCGCGCAGACCCTCGGCCCCCCTTCTCAGATACTCCAGGCCCTCTTGAGAACCGCGCGTTTCTTGAAGAGCGATGGCGGCGCATTCCGGACTGAGTTTGCGGAGTTTCGACATCGCGTTGGCGATCGGCTGAATCGACGACATTCCACGTCGCCGAGAGGGTCTGCACATTCCACGTCGCGATAGAGAAATAGTCGGAGAACATGAAAGACTTGTCGGGCGGGGAAGAGCTGTCAAAGCTGTCAAAGCTGGCGCCAAAGATCATTCCCATCTCATCGTGGCTGCCCTGGAGGCGTCGAAAAAAATCAGGCTGTAAATCAGAACTCGGTTCGGGCGGGGTGGAGTCCTATTCCACGGCGGCTGCAACCGTGGCAGCGGCGGCGGTCGTGTCGACGCCGTGCTTGGCCAGGTTCTCGCTGCGCGGCTTGCATTCGAAATGGTTCCGATCCGTCGTCGAGAGCTCGATGAGGATGGAGAGGCAGTCGTCGTACCTCAGGTAGAGGATGCCTTTGAAGCCGTTGGAGCCGATGGCGTAGCCGCCCATACACGCGCCATCGCAGGGGCAAGAAATGTTTATCTTTCACTAGTCAGCCTGTATATTTTGTTTTACTGGCCCTCATGCCCACATGATCGCTGATCGCGATGAGGCCGACATCTGCGCGACGCGACGCCAAGTGTGCGAATCGACCGAGCTTGCGATTTGAAGGCGCGCCCAGAACGGCGTCGCACGACAATTGGACACCATGACCCGCCGCCTGCAGGAAAACCTTCAGGCGCCAATGGCGCTCTCTGGGCGGCCGGGAATCGCGGGGGGCTCCACGTCGGCCGAAACGCGCAGAGAAACGACACTGGGCGTCCGGCGAAACCCAGATCCCCAATCCGTCGCCGAGATGTCTCCACGAGCTTCCTCATCGACGCAAGTGGGCCCAATAGCTCCACGGGGCCCTCGGGAGAGCCAATAGGGGAACCCGAGGAAGAGCGCGACAGGCCCCGGGGGACGCCCGATACGCCCTAGAGCGAGCCCCCCGCAGAAGCACGCGAGGAACCACTCGCATCCGCCCCGGACAAGGACGCAACCCAGACCCGCGACCGGTGAAATGACAGATTTTGCGGTTTTGGCCCACCTAAAACAATAAAACCTCTTATTTCACCGATCCGGCCTGGCGGGGGTTCCAGGGGCGGACGCCGCGCGCGCCCTGAGGCGGCGAGCCGATCGACGCAGGGCCGCGCCCTCGCTTGAGCGCGCGCACCGATCTGCGGCGCGGCGCGCACATTCCTGCGCCTGAGGCGCGCGGAGATTAACGATGCACATATTCGTTCGGGCATGAAGATTCCCGTCGACATTGCCCGGCAGGCTTGCAATGCGCGCTGACTGAACGGGATCAAGCCGCGGCTATATAAGCACACGCGGCCTCATTGTCTGTTCGGGGGCCGCTCGAACCAACCGAAAGGCCGTTGCATCACTCGTCACGTCGCTTTCCATCAGCGAATGAAAATGCATCTACAGCGCGCGCGTCGTCCTCGAACCGAGCCGCATCTTGCGACGGCCGCGCTCGCTTGGCTTACGCGTTCCAAGGAGGCGGCGGGCAGCGAAACGAAGAGCGCGCCGTGTAATAATTCAATTGAGCGTCTGCGATCGAAAACCCAAACAACCAGTGAACGATAAATATCTGGTCCCGACATCGCGATTCATAGCGCTGGTGACGGCCTGCCGGAGACTGCCTGGATACTTGTTCTTGTTGCGGATCTCCGAGGACGCGTCGTAGCGGACGCGCAGGGTGATGGAGGCGCTGGTCGCCCGATCCTGGAACTGGATGCCCGCCACGCGGTGGTAGTCGATGAAGGCGGTGGCCGCCTCTTCGGTGCTGAACTTGATGCTGTAGGAGTTGTCGAGGTCGTATCCCCTGATCGTGGCGCCATCGGAGAGGTGAGAGGGAATCAAGCCGAGGAGGTTCTTGCCGTGCTCCTCGAGAGTGGCGCCGAGCATCGGGGAGACGAAACCGCCGACCCATACTTTGCAACGGTCACTGGAGGAGGCGTTGAGAGGATCTTCATGTCTGCAGTGGTGGTGCCCCGCGGTCTCGGAGCGGGAGCGCTTGACGCCTTGCGAGGACAGGCCGAAGGAATGCACGCTGCTGGCACTGGAACCTGCGGTACTGCAAAGGGAGGAGACCTTCGGCTCGAGCTGCAGGAACTTTGCCTGCAATTGGCCTTCGGCAACAGCAGCTATGCCCTTGGCTTCTAGGTTGTCCAGACGAGCGGTGATCGCGGCATTATGAACTGCCTGCTCCTCGAACTGGCTCTTGATCACTGAGATCTCAGCAATCGCCGTGTTGATTCCTGCGCGCTGCGATGAGAAGGTGGTGTTCGTACTGTCCATCTTCATGAGCACTTCCTTGATACCTTTTTCCATGGCTTCGGCTGCACATCCCGACATGGCGCTGACAAAATGTCGCGGAGAGAAAGATAGGGGTGTCCGCTCGGGCCCGACACCCGAATCGCTCACTGAAGTGAGCTGCCCGCTCGTGTGCAATCGCCCCAATCGCACTTGTTCCAAAATGGCACCGGAGGAAGAGGAGGAGGAGGAGGAGGAGGAGCAACAGCAGCAGGAGGATAACGAGCAGGAGGATGACAGGAGGAGCACGAGGAGAAGCAGGAAGGAGGAGGGAGGAGGCGGGAGGAGGAGGAGAGAGAGGAGGAAGAGGAGGAAGAAGAAGAGGAAGGGGAGGAGGAGAAAAAAAAAAGAGAAGAGGGAGGCAAGGTAGAGAGAAGGAAGGAAGAGAGGAGGGGGAGGAGGATGAAGAATGATGAGAGGGCAACCGGCGGTACCCTACGTGCCCTGGGCCCCTAGGGGTCGCTGCTTGCGCACAAATGCTGGCCAGGGAGACGTTGCATCACAATGGGAGCCGTGGTACCAGCCCCTCCTGACCCTCAAGGTGGCCTCCAGCATGCTCGATATGACAGGGATGGCTACTCGTCCACTGTCGCGTCTGTCGCGGCAACACACTGGATTGCGTCAAGCAGCTCCTCAACAAAGATAAAGACAACTGCATGGAGAAGCTAGCCGATGAACTAATGGCCACGACGGAAAACGACACCCCCGTCGAAAATCACATCAAAACCATCGCCACCACCACCACCACCACCATTCCCAGCATCATCATAATCATCATCAGCAGCAGCAGCATCAGCATCAGCATCAGCATCGTTAGCATCATCATCATCGTCGTCATCACCACCACCAACAACAGCGTCTTAGTCATCATCAACAGCATCACCATAATCCTCGCCACCATCGTTATCCTCGTCATCATAAAATCATCATCACAGTCATCGTCATCATCCTCGCCATCATCATCATCATCATCATCATCATCACCATCATCATCATCATCACCACCACCACCACCATCACAATCACCATCGCCATCACCATCACCATCACCATCACCTCTTCATCAACCCTCCTCGCAATCACCTCCTCCTCCTCCTCCGCCTCTTCATCCCTGCTCCGACGCCCAAGTCCCTCCTCCTCCTCCTCCTCCTGCTTCTCCTCCTCCTCCTCTCCTGAGTCGAGTGCAGTCTCACGTGAGTCGCTCGCTGGCTTCACACTCCTCACCTTCTCTTTTGTGGTGGGCGACGCGGTCGGACAACCTCCGAGAGCAACTCCCTCCACGTCGTCTACGCCCAACATTGTTGATCGTTCCCGCCAAGCTGCACGAGGCAAGGCAAGCACAGAGGTCAGGAGGCGGGCGGCCGCGTCGGCCGTGCCACCCCTCCTTCTCTTGTTGTTAGTATCCTCACTGTTCGCAGCATGAGTGTTCGTATGATTGTTCTGGCTGTTACCATTAGTGGTCGTAGTGTGCGTGCTCCTGTTATGTGATGCTCGTCTTCTCGTTATGATGGTTCTCAGTGTTGGTGCGGGTCGTAGTATTGTTACTAGTATTTGTACTACGAATTCTGCATAGTAGCAGTCATACTCTTAGAAGTGTTGTATTAGCGTTGGTAAGTTATCTTACGTGTACGATTGATCATGCGTTACTAGTGATAGTATCATCACGTATTGCTCATTTGCTTCTTAGTACGGCCGTTCTTATCAAGACTAGTGTTGTCCCTGCTCCTCCGCTCCCTCCTCCTCCTCCTCCTCCTCCTCCTCCTCCTCCTCCTCCTCCTCATGTTCCTCTCACTATTCCTCCTCCTCCTCTTCCTCCTCTTTCTCCTCTTCCGCTTGGCCCAGGCAGGCGCCCGCGGTCCCGCCAGCGCCGCCCCGCGAGCAGGCGGAGCCGGGCAGGGCCGTGGACGTGGAGGCGTCACTGAGCGGCGTCCTGGGGCTGAGAGAAAACGGAAGGGGGCTCCTGCACCCCCGCCCGCTCCTCCACCTCCTTCTCCTCCTCCTTATCCTCCTCCTCCTCCTCCTCGTCCTGCTCCTCAGCAGCATCAGCATCAACACTAGCATTCGCATCCGCATCAGTATCAACATCAGCATCAGCATCCTCATCATCCTCGTCAGTATCATCATCATCATCATCATCATCATCATCATCATCATCATCATCATCATCATCATCATCATCATCATCATCAGCATCGTCATCATCCTCATCATCATCATCAGCAGCAGAATCATCAGCATCATCAGCAGCATCATCATCATCGTCATCAGCATCGTCATCATCATCAGCATCATCATCAGCATCATCATCGTTGTCGTCGTCGTCGCCACCACATCACCACCATCAGCCGCCCTGCTTCTTGCCTCCTCCTGGGGCTCCTCCTCCACCTCATCCTCCTCCTCCTCCTCATCATCATCCCCCTCCGCATCCTCCTCCTTCTCATGGATACGCGGCCACATGGAAACGTTCCGCGCGGAACATCCGCGAAAATACTGCCCGTACCAACAGAGTCGCGGTCCAAGGGCCCGGCCCACGAGGCCGTGGATATGGATATGTTTAAGAGCCAAGATCTGTTATGAGGTCCGTGGGCGCAGCTGACGCATTTTGGTCCTCGAAGTACCTCTGGAGACCTCAAGAGGCCTGGAGAGACTTCTCGACACAGCAGCGTTACTTCGCCTCAACAGCCCGTCATCGAAAAAGAGGGAAGCAGCAGCATCAGTAAGAATGATAAGAAAAGGTGAGGGAGGAGCAGGAGGAAGACGAAGAGACTCGCTTCGGCACATCAAAACATGTGGGTACAGCTGGCTCGTATAAAGTACTAGGCGTCAGAGCTGAATGGACTGCGTCGCGTGGTTTCCTGCGCGATCGGAGCGGTGGAAAGACAACCAGGAAAACGCCTAGGTGGTGCGGAAAATGCAGCCAGAAAATGGTTGCCAACGTAGAACCCAGACATTGCATTATTGCACTCAGGATGTGTAGTGCACGTGATGCAAACAATGTGGTGCAATAGATGCGGCGAAATGTATGTGTAACCTATGTGGTGCAAGCTATGTAGTGCAATTAATCACTTGCCGAACTTGAAGTTGTCAACTCCACTGCTCGCGCAATCATCCCACCCACACACCCGCAATTTGGTTTGCAAAATATCTTAAGACCGTGACGGTGGGTACCAAATGGCACTTGGAAACGACAGCGACGCCGACGACGACAGCAACAACGACGACGACCACGCCGCCGACAACGACTACGACGACACCGACGACGTCTCCAACGACTTCGACGGCGCCGACAACGACGACGACGACGACGACGACACCGACGACGACGACGACGCCGACGCCGACGACATCCACGACGACGATGACAACGAAGACGACGATGACGACGCCGACGACGACGACAACGACGACACCGACGACGACGACGACGACGACGACGTCAACGACGCCGACGACGACGACGACGACGACGACGGCGGCGACGACGACGACGACGACGCCGACATCGACGACGACGATGACGACGACGACGCCGACGCCGACGACGACGACGAAGACGACGACGACGACGTCGCCAACGCAGACGACGACGAGGGAGGAGGGAGGACGACGACGGCGACAACGACGACAACGACGACGGCGACGAGGAGGGAGGGAGACGGCGACGACGCGAACGACGAAGAAGGAGGAAGGACGGCGACGCCGACGACGACTATGACGAGGGAGGAGGGAAGACGACGACGACGGCGACAACGACGACGACGACGACGGCGACGAAATAGGAGGCAAAACACATGCGGGACCGAGCACAGATATCGCTCCGGGGTCGTCTTGGAGCCCTCGGGGGCGTCTCAAGAGCGCCCCAAGAAGGCCAGAGAAGCAAGACGGCCGACGACGACGACGACGACGACGACGGCGACGACGACGACGCCGACGTCGACGACGACGACGAAGACGACGACGCCGACGCCGACGACGACGACGAAGACGACGACGACGACGACAGCGCCAGCGAAGACGACGACGAGGGAGGAGGGAGGACGACGACGGCGACAACGACGACAAAAGCGACAACGACGACAACGAGGGAGGAGGGAGGACGGCGACGACGCAAACGACGAAGGAGGAAGGACGGCGACGCCGACAACAACGACGAGGGAGGAGGGAAGTCGACGACGAGACGACGACGAAAACGACGACGACGACGACGACGGCGACGAAATAGGAGGGACGACAACGAGACGCCGACGACGGACGACGACGACGACGACGAGGGAGGAGGAGGAAGGACGACCACGGCGACAACGACGACGGAAACGACCACGACGCAAAAAAAAGGATGACGACGACGAACACGAGGAACAACACAGGACGACGTAGGCGACGACGACGACGACGCGGGAGGAGGGAGGACGGCGACGACGACGGACGACGACGACGACGACGACGCCGCAAGAGCGCGCGCGCACGCTTTTGTTGAAAATCCGTGTTGCGAAACCTCGTGTTTTTGTAGGTTTCTTGGACGCGCGCTTTTGAAATCCTTCCGAAACCGATGGGTGTTGAAGGATTTCGGCGTACGCGCGCGACGACGCGCGCGTCTGCACTTCGTCCCATTTTTTGCTGAGGATTCTCGCGACGGCACACGCGCAAGGGCGTTCGACAGATTTCGACATGCGCGTGCGCGACGCCCGTTTGGTAGCATGTTGTGAAAATATTGAAAACCAATGGTTTTCTTAAGATTTCGCAAGAGCTCGCGCGTAAGCTTTTTTAGCAAGTCAGTGTTACGAAACCATGTGTTGTTGTATGTTTTTGGGAAACTCGATTGCGAAATCCTTCCAGCACCGATGGTTTTGAAGGACTTCGGCATGCGCGCGCGACTACGCGCGCGTGAGCACTTCGTCCCATTTGTTGCAAGGGATTCGCCAAAAAGTGTTATGTTAGAACAGAAAATGTCACCGCATAGTGTTTTTTACAAGGGAACCTCAGGGAGGGGGGATACCGGTTGGCCTGGGACAGTGTGATGTCATATTTAGGATGGACATGTGGTCAGAATCAGATGTGATTTACATACCCGAAAAGGGTTGCGATAACGCAGGGGGGGCGTAGAGTCTATTCTCTGTTTAGAAAGGAGAATGTATGTGGTGTAAGCAATGCGGTTCAATACACGTGGTACTACTTGTGCCAAGATAGATATGCGATGCGCTCTAAATGGCGCAAGCTAGGTAGCGCAAGATAGGAAATACCATATGTGGTGCAAGCCATGCGTTGCAAGTTATGTGATGTAGTATGTGTATGATGCACATGTGTGGTGCAATCGATGCGTTGCAAACTATGTGGTGCAACCTATGTGTTGCAGGGCCGATACGCGTGATTATACACAACTCGATGCATCTATAGGGAGAGACATCGATGTACACATATACATATATGTACGTACAGATACATGCACATGTATAAATCTATAGACATACATATACACATGTCCACAGTACTACAAACAAGGGCTGCAAGCCATCTGGTGCCAACGGGCGGGCACATGGCGGGCTCGGGCAGCCATGGGCGCCAATGGGCGGCCACGGGCGGGCACCGTCCTCCGATGCCTCGTCGGCCGGCGGCGGGCCCCACGAGAGAGCTTCGGCTAAGTTGGTCTGCGCGACGTCTGTCGGAAGCTCGGCGAGGGCTGGCAAGTCCGCCGTGGCTGCTAAAACGGTCTTCCCGGAAGGTAAAGACAACACCAAACAATAAACGGGCTGCTTCCCGGAAGAAAAAACAATTTCCCTGAGTTCCGTTTTAGCAGCCACGGGTTTGCAGCCTTCCCCTGGCTTCTGAGTCTGGATTGTCAGACACTTCCAGACAGCGTTGAGGCTGACGCTGTCGTTCGCGGGACGGGGTCGCAGCACGCTTGTCGCGAGTCGGTGAAGCACCACGCCGCTCCTTGGGTATCAACCGATCGGGACGATAACGACCTGATGGGCGATCCTGAACCTCCAGTGCTGGACGCCGATCTCGTCCCTGACCTTGTTCTTGCCACCTTGGTCATGGTGGCGCCAGCCGCCAAAGCTGCTGACCAGGTGTTTCTCGCTGCCAAGCGCCGTCATCCTATTGCCTGCACCGCATTCGAAACGCCATGCGGCTGACGATGGCGAGCGCTGCTGTGGCTTCCGTACCAGAGGCTGCTTTTTCCTTGCTGAACGGCGGCGCACCGAAATGGTGCGTGCGCCATCGAGCCTCAGGAGCAATCTGGCTGACCCTCCCATGGCCCGCAACCGGCGGTACCACGCTGGCACGGCGCTCGGCCGGCGCAGTGCCAGCCCTCACCGCAGCGGACGCGGCCACCAGCGCCGCTGCCCGCGGCGGCGAGCAGGGAGCCACGGAAAGCTCCCCGCCGCAGGCGGATGGCGCGCTGGCGGCGTGCGAGCCCGGCCCAAGGGGACCGCCCGACCGATCGGGGAGCGGTCGGGCGGCGGCGCTGGTCGACCATGACCCCGATCTGATCAGAAGCGGGCCGCCCACCCCCTTGTGAGACCAAGGCTTATGCGGAGGGAAGAGAGGGAGGGGGAGGAGGGGGAAGCAGGACGACAAGGGGAGGGGAGGAGGACAAGGGATGAAAAAGGAGGACGAGTCGGGATGAATGGGAACGCGGCTAAAGGGGGGGAAAAAAGGGTGGGAAGGAAGGGGGAGAAGGAGGACGACGACAACGACCACGGCGACGTCAGGGATGGAGAGAGGAAAAGCAGGACGAGGCATGCACCAGTGGGAGGAGAGGCAGCAGCATGGTGGGCCTACTTTTCACCGCCACCACCACCACCACTATACATCAGGGGCGGCTGAACCACGAGAGCGCTTTGCTGTGCGAGGCGCCGATCGCGCTAGGCAAGGCGCTGCCACAGGTCGGCCGCCCCTTGTTTATCGCGGCGGTGGTGAGAATAAGCC